TTTTTTTTTTTTAGAGACAAAGTCTCACTTTATTGCCCTTGGTAGAGTGCTATGGAGTCACAGCTCACAGCAATCTCCAACTCCTGGGCTTAGACTATTCTCCTGCCTTAGCCTCCCAAGTAGCTGGGACTACAGGCACCTGCCACAATGCCCAGCTATTGGCTGGGGCCGGGTTTGAACCCGGCACCCTCGGCATATGGGGCCGGCACCCTACTCACTGAGCCACAGGTGCCGCCCCATTTCATTCTTTTTAAGAATCATTATTCTACAGTACACATATTCCACAGCAGGAGAGCACAGTGGCTAACTGCATGGACTGTAGAGGCAGGAGTATCTGGCTTCAAATCAGCACTCAGCCACTTGCCAGTGTAGTCAGGGTGTTACTTGGCATCTCTATTCCTCAAGTTTCCTCATCTGTAAAATGGAGATAATGGAATTAAGGATTATTGAGAGGACTGAGTGGATGTTAACTGATAACATGCTAAGTTGTCAGCTACTGTTGAATGGCCTCTCGTTACAGGGTTGACCCATATTTAACCATTGAGCACCTGAGGTTTTTTTCTCTTCACGTTTTTGTCCTTTGCAATACATATGCAGTACCTTTTTTTTGTTTGCCGTATTTCTGGATTGGTAAGGTTTTTTTAGACTGAGGTAATTTTTCACTTGTCCTTAAAAAAAAAAAAACTTGGTGGTTGCCTGTAGTCCCAGCTACTTGGGAGACTGAGGCATGAGGATCGCTTGAGCCCAAGAATTTGAGGTTGCTGTGAGCTGTGAAGACACCACAGCATTCTACCCCAGGCTGACAGAGACTATCTCAAAAAACTGCAATACCATTATCATACTTAAAAATTAACAATTACTTAATATTATTGTTTCCCCAGTTATCTTATGTTTTTTTCCTACAATGTGTTTGAAATCAGGATCCAATAGGGCTCGTGATGGATTTTTAAATTCTGATGCTTTGTGACATATGAGGGGTGAGGATTTGGGAACAAATGAATTGTTTAGCCTTTAAAAATACGTAGTACATGGCTCAGCCCCCATAGCTCAGTGGTTAGGGCGCTGGCCACATACACTAGGACTGGTGGGTTCGAACCTGGCCCAGGCCTGCCAAACAACTACAACAAAAAAATAGCTGGGCTGAGAAATTTATTTTCATTACAGCCCCTCCCCCCCCAAACATGTTCTCATTTTGTTGCCCAGGCTAGAGTGCAGGAGCATCTTCATAGCTCACTGCAACCTCCAACTCCTGTCCTCAAGTTTCCACCATCCAGCTAATTTTTCCTGTTTTATTTTTTTGTAGAGACAGGGCTTATGTTACTCAGGCTGGTCTTGAACTACAACCTCAAGAAGTCCTCCCACCTCAGTCCCTGAAAGAGCTAGGATTACAGGTGTGAGTTACTACACATAGCCTATGTGAGTGTTTTTAAGGTGTAAGGGCCTATGAATAAAGTAGAAATGCAGGTTTTCTTTGGAAAAAGCTAACCAATTAGCGTAAAACGCGTTAACCTTACCTGAGCCCCTGTGAGAAGAGGAGCTGCCCCTTTGCAAAGGGCTGCACCTTTTTGGTGGTGGTGGGGGAGGGAGAACACCTAGAGATCTATTTCTGTGGTTCCTAAAGACTGGTCTTGGACAAAGGGACTTTTCCAGCAGGCCCTGGTGTGACACATGTGCAGCATCCCTGTGTGGAGCAGATTCACCCACTTCTGGACTGAGGATCTAGACTATTAGAGGCCCTTTCTCAATTTCCCTGTGTATCACCTAAGGAAATCAAGTTCCTTTTAGAAGTTACACTAACACCTTGATGTATCCAAAACTTAATTCATAATTATGTCCCTGTAGATGAGTTTTTCTGGATTTCCTCATTATTAAGAAAAATCATTCTTTAGTGGGTTCACCTGCCATTCTGTCTCCAAATCAGTGAAAATGGAGTTCTTCTCTCAGGATAGTCTCTCATGGGTTAATACATAGAAGCAGCTGTGAATATACTCACCAAAAATGATTAAGGCAAAAACGAAAGCCCCATCATTTCCATGATTGTGAGACTGGGGGATGTTTGAAATACTCTGAACCTATTAATTCTTCATAAAAAAAATTTGTAGCAGCCAATTTGACTGTGGTATACAGAAGATCTGTGTTACTAAGCTACATGGGAGAAATGGGGGAAAGGAGAGAATGCCGTGGCCCACTGGGTTCAAGTACTTCACTAAGGCTAACACTGGGAGGCAGCCTGGTCAGGCAGGTAACCAGGATCACCAGGATTGTTAAATGTTAATCATCAGAGAAGGTGGACATGAAATAAATTAAAACTAAGCTATTCCCCTGTTAAATGGAAACATAAATCAGAAGTAATTTCCTCTAACATTATGAGACAGAGTTTGTTACTACCAGAATGATTTTATCCATAGCAACAGAAGTGGTCAATTGATAAATGTTTCCTTTTGAATTATTATGTCTTCTGGTAATTGAATAGTCATGGAAACTAGCAATATAAATGAAGAATGAATTAAGACACATTAGAGACAGAGGAAAGATTTTGATTATTTTATTTTTTAATCTTCAAAATTTTCTGCCATAAGACAGGAATGCATGATAGAAATGGCTCAACATCTTCACATGAAACACTTGGATTCATTTTCATTCACAAAAGTTTTTTCTAAAAACATCTACAATTTTATAATCCCACCCACTTCCAACCATTATCACAGATTTAACTGACCATTAAACAGTAGTTGCCAGCATTAGATAGCTGGAATGCTTTCTGCATATTAGTAGTGTCTTTTGAACTACCACCCGAAAGTATTTGGATTATAACTCTCACTGTACATGGCAACCCAAAGGTGTCCAATGTCCTCAAATAAACTTCTTGTTTATCACTGAGAGCTGTATCCCCCACATACTTAAAGGTATGCGCTTTCTGTTCCAAGAATTGCTTGTTCATCTCATAGTATTTTTCTTGCAGAGAATTGCATGTACTGATCTGGTGATTTAATCAGCACTGCTAATAGGTATGTGTGTATATGCCTGATACTTACTGGTGCTCTCTTGATAACTTTGTACAGAACATACTGGAAAAAGTTGGGTCACTTGGAATCTCTTTTTTTGAAAAGAACTACTTTGAGGTTTTTTTTTGAACAGTTGTAAACAAAAGGAAGAGATATACACAGACATGTATCTATACACAGAAACCTACTATGAGTATTTTCAATGTGGTGCATATCTTGTCTAGAGATATACATAAACACAGATTAAATGTCTCCACTCGTCCCTTCACACACACCCACACCCTTCCATACAGAGAGTGTGAATATAAATGTTGTTAAGTGTCCTTGGGAGTTCACTGGAGTTTTCATATTACCAAATGACAATGAAATACCTGATCTGTATTACTCCTGAGAAGGTATTAGAAGGGAATGACAGTTCTGATGCACTTTGGAATGGCACAATCACGTAAACGCTTGCATACTTAAGACTTATGAATTCATCCAAAGTTTCTAAACATGATCTGACCAAAAAAATAAAAAGTATCAAAACATGCAGCAAGGTAAAAAATAAAAAGTATTTTATAATCAAAGTATAAACAAATATATAGGAAATGCATATTTGTCAGTGATGATTTTAAAGTAGGAAACATGTATTTAAGAAAAATAGTTGGCCAACAAAACTTCAAAAAAAAAAAAAAAAACCCTTTCCAATGCATAATAATACATGGCATTGCCCCCAAAAGCAGGATAGCCACATTAGACTTGCAAGGCCTACAGAAAGAAGCTCTACCAGAAAAAAATTACTATACAGCAAGTCTGTTAAGTACGCAATTTATAAAAAATTACTGTGACTTTCATTCACATTTCTGTAAAAAAAGTATTTGTAGTTTGCTGAATTATCTTATCCCTCAGTATAATTTGTATAAAAATTACAACTAAACGAATGAATTTTCAAGCACCAATTAAATCATTTAAACTTACTATATTTATATTTCTCCTGTTATTAAGGGAACAAATTATGATGAAGGCTAAGCTAAAATTAGCCAGCTAATTGTTACAGTTTAGTTTTAAAGGCATGTGGTTTTTTTCTTCCATTCATTTGCCAAACATTTAAGAATGTTTAGGCTGGTAAAGGACTCCTTAGAGGAATCTATCATTTCTGAGTATTAATCATTTAATATACATTAAAAGCTCTTTAACAAACCAATGCTTCCTTGGTTGTAGGATAAACTAGATTTGCACACAAGAAATTAAGGGACTATTCGTTGTTATGACTTAGAAAAGGTAGCACCTATATAGTAGACTAACGAGCACATCTGGACATCTAGTAGTGTAAGAGAACAGCATTATTATTCAAGAAGGCAATACCATTGCACTTGGCAATACTGACATTTTTCTTAATTAAAAAATTTCTATTAGATATTTGGAGTGGGAGGATATCTCAATAAGAGCACACTTTTTTTTTTTCTGGTTTCTTTTTCTGCCTCAGGAAATAAAAGTAGCACAGTCTGAGCCCGCAGATGAGTAACTGTTTGTGATGCTTCTGGTTGCTCCTGAAGAAAACACGTTCAGATAACAAGGGGGTTTATTTTCAAAATCAATACAACTGCTGTTTTGTTTCCAGTATTTACATCACATCACTTACATACACAGTAATTTCTGAGACATAATGTTTCAGTCTTCCACTATTTAGTTTGGTTAATTTTCAATGCACACCAAACTGAACCTTTAGGTTGGCTGCATTTGAGAGAATGTAGATAAGAGTACTGAAGAAAACAGATCACATGGAAACTAAAATCTCAATCAATAGTGATTCTCCATCACTGCCCATCCTGTTATCTGAACTTTATCACAGAATCACATGCAGTTGAAGTAGAAACGTCACCCTGAGGCCAAGGTGTTAGGACAAGGATGAAGGGGCTTGCTGGTTCTTGGGAAGGGCAGCTTCATTTTGCTCCTCACTCATCTCCTCGGATGGCTCTTCATAAATAGGTTCACCAAGATCTTCGCTGCCCCCTTCACTCTGCTCCTCACTGTGGTCTTCACTTGGCTCCACGGTCTGTTCCAGGCTATTCTCCAGAAGTGTGGGAGAATTGCTTATTCTACTTTCTTCTTCAGCTGTCTCATTTAAGGGCTGGGAAGGAGGTGGTGTGGGAGTATTAGATGGGATGACACTTTCAATGGAAGAGGCGGGGGCTTTGGCTAGAGCGGTATCTGCTACAATCTCATTCTGAGGCAAAGATAACTTTTCCACAAGTTTCCACTGAATGATGCTCATGTCTTTTCCACCAGTTGAAATCAGGTGACTGTCATTATGAGTAAAACTAACATTGGTGACATGGCTGCTGTGGGCACTGTACTTGTGACTGGGTGCCTACAAGAAACAAATCAGACAGAAAGGGAAAATTAAGTTCAAATTCTTTATATGCCTGGCCTGTTTACAGAAATGGAGGTGACTAGACTTAAGGGAGATAACTCAGCTTGTGAAACAGGTCATTCAAAGCTGTAAGTCATCAAATCTGAGGAATATCTCTTTTCATAGGAGAAACAAGACAGAATAGTTGGACACTTGTACTTTGGCACTGTATGTTTAAAAAAATAACTAGAAGTCCTATCCTGGATGCTGGTCGGTATGCTTGTAAGAGCTTATCAACTATTATTTTGACATAGCTAGGGCAGAATCTACTCAGTTGACAGGATAATAGATTTAGTCCCATTAATTTATAATGTTGCTTGTGTATCTATAATATATTTAGGAGAAAATTTAAAATTGCCAAAATATCAGAAGATACTGGCAATAAACAAAAAGGATACCACATCCTCGGTTGCCACCTCTGCAGCTCTCACCTTAGCGAGGAAGGCAGCCTGTGTGGATGCTTGCAGATGGCCTTTGCCCTCCCTCTGGGCATCGGAGTAGCAAGGAGAGTAATTACTAACCCTGCAAGTATTTTGTTGCCAATGACAAAATCATCCCCAAACTAAAGGCCCAAGAACATTAGTTTCCATTAAAATGAGTTCACCTTTGCTTTGGAGCAGGGATACTGAAACAGGTGGACTTTACAAAAGTCGTCCGCCACAGCTATCACCTTTCTGTTGTGGGATCGCACCAGTGCATTTATATCTGTCCCATCGGATCCTTCTGGCCAGACACCTTTGATATGGAAACACAGGGATATAGAAAAATTAGCCTAAAAATATTACTGATGCTACATATGTGTCTTTTACTTTGGAATCTGATTAACTTTTTTTTTGGAATTTTTGTCCAGGGCTGGGTTTGAACCTGCCACCTCTGGCATATGGGGCTGGTGCCCTACTCCCTTGAGCCACAGGGCGTCGCCCTAGAATGTGATTAACTTTTACCTGTGTTCAAACTCTTAGCTGCTTACATTTCCCTTAGAAGTCCCCCGTCCCTCCTTCCCTTCCTCTGTTGCCAGGGCAAGAGTGCCCTAGAGTCATAGCTCATAGCAACCTCAAACTCCTGGGGCTCAAGTGATCCTCTTGCTTCAGCCTCCTATGTAGCTGAGAGTATAGGTGCCTGCCACAATGCCTGGGTAATTTTTCTATTTTTTTTTTTTTTTTTAGTAGAGATGTGGTCTTGCTCTCGGTTAGGGTAGTCTCGAACTCCTGAGGTCAAGGGTTCCACCCACCTTGGCCTCCCAGAGTACTAGTCCTTTACAGAGTTCTTAGCAGCTAACCACTGTTCTTCACTGAGATGACGAAGTTTTACTCAAAATCTAACTTAACAGTAAAGTTAAACCAAAATAGTCTCAAGATGGAAAACTTAAAGATGCAATAGTATTCAACAGTAACCAGCAGGTGGTGCTAATAATTTATTTTAGTTTCAGTATAACTCATCCTCAGCTATATGTTCTTCCTAAAAAAAAGTCTAGTTGAAGGGGTGAGTGCATAACAAGGTTCAAAAACAAGCCGCAGCACTAAACTGTCAAGTGGACTCGCTAGGTTTCCTTTTAGGCTGGCACCTCCAAGAAGATTTCAAAGAGTTTATTATGGAAATACACAGGCCATCTCTAGTCAAGCTGTTATTCCATAGAATAAATATTATTTATGTCCCATTTTGAGACACTAATCATTATGTTCAAAATAATTTTTCTCTATGAGGCTAGATTAAAACTATAGAACATTTAAGGGTTGGAGATGTTGGTTTCCTGTGGTTATATGCAGAGAAATATTTTTGGTAAATTTGCTAAAAACATGTCTAAACGTTAAAACTGATCTCTCTCAATAAGTAAATAAATACTATCTCATTAAAATAACCAGGGACATTACTAGCTGTGAGCCACTGCATTTTCACCCAGAATAATGTAGCTGGTTTATGGATAAGTCAGGATTGTTTTTAATTTCTTCTTAGCCTTTTAAGATTCTTTGCCTTAATAGCACTTGTGTGGGGGTTTCCAGAGACAGGGCCTCACTTTGTCACCTAGGCTGGAGTGCAGTCACATGATCATAGCTCACTGCAGCCTTGAACTCCTGGGCCCAAGCAATCCTCCTACCTCAGTTCCTTGAGTAGCCAGGACCCACAGGTGGATGCCACTGTGCCCAGTTAGTTAAAAAAAATTTTTTTTTATAGAGATAAAAAAAAATTAAAGAAAAAATTAAAGAAAAAAATTATTTTTATAGAGGGGGTCTTACTGTGTTGTCCAGGCTGGTCTCCATCTCCTGGGCCCAAGGATCTTTCCCCAAAGTGCCAGCCATGATTACAGGTGTGAGCACCTGGCTCCAGGTGCAATGTCTTTGCAAACAAGGCTATATTATTTTAGTTGTCCATCCCATTTATCCTCTAACCCTTTTAGAAGGATACCTAAAGACTGGGAAGGGCTTAGGAAGTTGTCACAATTTCTAGAAAAGCTCAAACATCAGACTAGGAATAACCTCCAAATTTTATCTTTAAATGATGTCTACTAAAAATGCCTTTATATTGTGACAAATAGTGCTGGGACAACTGGACATCCCCATGAAGAAGAATAAGAACAACCCATACTGGCAAAGATAGGGAGAAACTGGAACCCTCATACCCTGCTGGTGGGAATGTAAATGGTGTAACTACTTTGGAAAATAGTCTGGCAGTTCCTAAAAGATTAATCATATAGTTACTGTTTGATGCAGCAATTCCACTCCTGGGTATATACCCAAGAGAAATGAAAACATGTCTATGTAAAGATTTACACATGACTGTTCACAGTAGTGTTATTCATTCATAATAGCTGGGAAGTGGAAACAACTAGTGTCCATCAGGTGAATGGATTTAACAAAATGCATACACACGTATATCCATACAATGGGCTATTACTCTGCCACAAAAAGAATGAAGTACTGATGTATGTTACAATATGGAATAACCTTGAAAGTGTTATGCTAAATAAAAAAAGTAGTCTCAATGGATCACATATTGTAAGATTCCATTTATATGAACTATCCAAAATGGGGAAATCAATAAAGTAGATTAGTAGTTGCTGGGTGGGTAGAGGATAGGAAAGATGGGGAGTGACTATTATTGGGTACAAGGTTTCTTTTTGGGGTGATGAAAATGTTCTAAAATTAGATATTGGTGAAGGATGCACAACTCTGTGAATATATATAAGTCACTGAATCATACATTTTAAATAGGTGAATTGTTTGGTACATAAATATCTCAACAGTGCTATTAAAAATGCCTTTATAAATTTAAAAACTTCAAATTTTAGCTGGAAAAAAATGGGAAGATAGTATGTACTACTATGTAAATTCCTTTTAATGGTCTTTCTTTCTTTTTTTTCTTTTTTGAGACAGAGTCTCACTATGTCATCCTCAGTAGAGTGCCATGGCATCACAGCTCACAGCAACCTCAAACTCTTGGGCTGAAGCAACTCTCTTGCCTCAGCATCTCAAGTAGCTGGGACTACAGGTGCCCACCACATCACCCGGCTACTTTTTGGTTATAGTTGTTGTTTGGCGGGCCTGGGCTGGGTTTGAACCCTGGTGTATGTGGCTGGCACTCTAGCTGCTGAGCTACAGGCACCAAGCCTTAATGGTCTTTCATATGTATTAGGGACCAAAAGTGTTAGATTCTGCAGAGAATAAATCCCACACTGGGTTCAGTCCTAGCACATTTAATTTCTCTGAAACTGGCATTAATAATGATAGAACTAACGAACATGCATACACTATTTTTCACTTATAAATTTAAGCAAGTAAATGTTACATATGAACTCCCCACAAACTGCCGCTTCATATCGGGTGTCATGTTCTTACCAAAGACTTGGAAGCCTAGCACACAGGTATATGTCGTCCAATCAATGTCCTTACAATCCGAACGATTCCTGATTAGTTTGCAGCCATTTGGAATGTCCCCTTTAAATTTAGAAACAGGAAGGATAATCATAGTGCTTGTGTACAAATGTATCTGAAAGTGCATCTCGATTCAAACTAGCCACGTTTACTTGTATTTACAATCCATACACTGAAAAACATTAAGACACATTTAAAAAGGAAAAGAAAGTGTTTACTTTAACAGGGTTTACAGAACTACAAACTGTTCCCCATGAAGTTTTTTTTCCTCTGAAAAGCATAAATGCTTATCCATTATGCTCCTCCCTGCTTCCAGGAAAAGTTGTTAAATGAAAAACCATTCAGAGCAGCATCAATCTCACTGAGGAACTTCTTATTGCTACATGTGCTTCAGTTCTATGCCATTAAATTAATTCATTACTTTCTTGGAGAAGTGAACCACATTTGAGATTCTCATTACTTAGTTCAGAGTAATATATGCCTTGTCAGGTTAGAGAGGCTGGCATGCATTTTCTGCACAAATCAAATTCCATGCAGCATATTCATTAGCACCCCTGACAGACACATACATCTGAGCTTGCAAATGATCATTCATACTTACAGTATAATATCTCATAGTCTCCAGAGTTAGACATTATATACTTGTTGTCTGGGGACCAATCAAGGTGTGTAATATAGCTGGAATGTCCCTAGGGAATAACAAATAAACTTTTAAAAAGCAGTTAGAGGTTTAAATAATAAATACTTTAATAGCCAATAATGTTTTCTGAATACCCATCTGTCAGAATTCTTAAAGGATAGGAAGCAGTATCACAGCTTCTAGAATTGAATAGTACACCTGTAGTTCGTTCTTTCTTTTTTTGCAGTTTTTGGCCGGGGCTGGGTTTGAACCTGCCACCTCTGGCATATGGGGCCGGGGCCTTACTCCTTTGAGCCACCAGAGTCGCCCTGTAGTTCTTTTTTTACTCTACCTTGATGGCAGCCAAAGATGCAGGTATGTGAAGATGCCTTGTCAGGTTAGACTACAGTGGTTCTCAATCTTCCTAATGCCTCAACCTTTAAATACAGTTCCTCATGTGGTGGTGACCCCCAACCATAAAATTATTTTTGTTACTAATTCATAACTATAATTTTGCTACTGTTATGAATTGTAATGTAAATATATGATATGCAGGATGTGTTTTCATTATTATGAAGGGGTCATGACTCGCAGGCTGAGAACTGCTGGGTTAGAGAATTTGGAACTAAAGGGATCTCACCACAATGGAAACATTAAGCACTTGGAACTTGGGAGAATACTGTTGGCCTCTTTACATACATACCAAAAACTAGTACCTACTACCTGTCTAGACATTTCTTTCTTTTTTTTTTTTGAGACAGAGTCTCACTATGCCACCCTTGGTAGAGTGCTATGGCATCAGAGCTCACAGCAACCTCCAACTCTTGGGCTTAAGCGATTCTCTTGCCTCAGCCTCCCAAGTACCTGGGGACTACAGGCGCCTGCCACAGCACCCTGCTATCTTCTGGTTGTAGCTGTCATTGTTCTCTGTCAGGCCTAAGCTGGGTTCGAACCCACCAGCTCAGGTGTATGTGGTTGGCATGCTAGCCGCTGAGCTATAGGGCGCCGAGCCCTGCCTAGGTATTTCTAACAAGACAGCGCCTTAAACTTGTATCTTAAAGGCCACTGCAAAACACATCACACCTTCAGGACTTATTTCAAGTCACTCATGTTCCTATTAGAGTGACTTCATTCTTGAAAATTAAGTATTGTTACAAGCTATGCACAAGGAATGCAGTTTTCCTGGGCTGTTTCTTGACTGTCCATAGTACACCTTAGAGGCTGAGGAATATGGCACCCATATAGTTATATGAAAATTGGGAAAAGTCATCCAACATTGTACTCCTTCAGAACAGCTGGACCCAACAGAATTCATCTGACTCCTTAAAACATTTCTTGGGCAGTGCCTGTGGTTCAAAGGAGTAGGGCGCTGACCCCATATACCGGAGGTCGTGGGTTCAAACCCTGCCCTGGCCAAACAAAAACAAAAACATTTCTTAAGCAGGAAAACAGTGATCTTTTTCTGCTTTGGATTTATTAACACTGTGGGAATTGAAACAAAAATACCCTGCTAAATGCTGAATTTTTTTGGCTTCACATAAAAGCATTTGATGACTTGCAATAAACTATTTCATATAAATTGCAGTGTTCTTATGGTTTACCAAAGTCAACAGAGATGTGAATTCACTTTTATCTCCTATAGTCACTGGTGAAACATGTTTAATTCCTAGTGTACTTTCTGAATTACTAGTTTTCTGCTTATATGATTTTATGTTTCAAGTTAATAAATTCAATGTACCTTAGATACTATTTTTAAATAATTTACTCAAGGCATTCTATATATTCTAGGACCCTTCTGAGGTCGAATAGTGTGTCCCCAAACCTTTCTGGAGCTATAATCGCCACCACAGTGCTGCATAGTAGCATTTGACACCTGTGAAGCTTTCTGAAACTACCAGAGATCCGATAGTATTTTGGAAAACACCTTGGGAATCACTTGGTAGGCACCTAAGGAACCTACCAACTTTTTTTTTTTTTTTTAATTTGAGACAGAGCCTCAAGCTGTCCCCCTGGGTAGAGTGCTGTGACATCACAGCTCACAGCAACCTCTAACTCCTGGGCTCAAGCGAGTCTCCTGCCTCCGCCTCCCAAGTAGCTGGGACCACAGGCGCCCGCCACAACACCCGGCTATTTTTTGGTTGCAGCCATCATTGTTGTTTGGCGGGCCCGGGCTGGATTTGAACCCTGCACCTTAGGTGTATGTGGCTGGTGCCTTTGCCACTTGAGCCACAGGCGCTGAGCCAGGAACCTACCAACTTAAAAAGAAAATCAATTATCAGAGCCAGAAAGATGCATGGGGTTATAGGCTATTTTAGTTTGGCAAGGAGATGGAGTCCACACAGCCCTTTTCATAGTACACATGGACCTGAAGCCTGGCTCTGATGTCTGGGGAAGCCATGCTTCTAAAATTAAAGAAAAACAAAACCAAAAACAACTATTGCTACATGAACGAAGGATTAAACAAATTAATCACAGTGAAGTACAGTCCTTTGAGAAGTATTCATCCAAATACAGAAGTACTTAAAAGTATTATCTGCCTCTTTGTGCAAAGCCTTTATAATAGCATTATCCAGAGGAGTATCAAAAGCATTATATGTATACATAATATTCATGTAAGTCACATCTATGCTGGATACAGAATGTGTTCAGAAAGTAAATCAATAGTATCCTCAAAAAGGACTCTTGAGTAGGAAAGTCCCCAAATTTAGAAAAGACCTTGCAGAAGTTATGAAATCATATTGGAAAACAGTATCTTCTCTCTAATATCAATGCCAACAAAACATTTAATGCAACTGTTGGGGGTCTATAATTTTACCTCCCAAGATACCACCTCAGAATGTCCTTGCCCCACCCAACTCACAGACCCACTGAGAGTATCTGCACAGCTTGGGGAAAAATAGACTCAGACTTCACCCATGGGCACAAACATAGTTGGAGCAAATTCTAGTGTAATTTTCCTTGAAAAGAAACAGGAAAGTTTTCTAAGTGGCCCTTTTATTATTGCCATTAAGTAGCTAAATGGTGTAACCACAAAAATCATCACAAGCGAAGGAGTGAAGAATCCTACTTTGGGGCTTGGCACCTGTGGCTCAAGCGGCTAAGGCGCCAGCCCACATACCCCTAAGGTGGTGGGTTCGAATCCAGCCCGGGCCCGCCAAACAACAATGACGGCTGCAACCAAAAAATAGCCAGGCGTTGTGGTGGGCGCCTGTGGTCCCAGCTACTTGGGAGGCTGAGGCAGGAGACTCACTGGAGCCCAGGAGTTGGAGGTTGCTGTGAGCTGTGATGTCATAGTACTCTACCCAGGGGGACAGCTTGAGGCTCTGTCTCAAAAAAAAAAAAAAAAAAAGAATCCTACTTTGGAGAAAGAATCTGAGTTAAATCTTTGCTAACTGCATGGAGGATCATCAACTATATTAGAGGTTTGCAACTGATGTAAAAATCACCTGAGGAGTTAAAAACAATAACAAGGCCTAGATTTACGGATCTAACTTTTGTCTTAGGTATCCAAGCAACCCCTTACCATTGGGAGCTGTAATGAACAATGAAACTTTCTGCATTGCAGTAGCAACTAGTCTCCTGTGGTTTCTAAATACCTGAAATATGGCCAGTGCTTCCAGGGAACTAATGTTATAAATAGAAAGTTGTGGCTAGTACCTGACACACAGATAGTGCAGGTAGAAGAGAAAGCATTCCTTCTCTATTGATTTCATTCTCTCTCCTTTTATTATTTAGTAAATTTCCAGAAAAGCACAGATCTGTATCTGGAGTCTCTTTGCTGTTCCATTTGTCTTATCTGCCTATTCCCAGCAACTGTGATAGTTCTGAGGTATGTGAAAATTTTCAGATGACTTTAGAGCTATTTATCAAGCCCTTAAATACCATATTGAAAATTTAAATAAGATTACATTACATTCAAGAATAGTTTATAGAGAACAGATAAAATTTTCTATAATCCTAAAGTATTCTGGGAGGTTGAAGCAGGGGGACTGGTTTAGTTCAGGAGTTCAAGATCAGCCTGAAGTCACATCTACTCAAGAGGCTAAGGCAGAAGGATCACTTGAGCATGGGAGTTTAATTTGAGATTATAGGAAACTATGATGATGCCACTGCACTCTCGCTAGCTGGGCCATCAAAGCAAGACCCTGTCTAAAGAATGAAACAAAAAAATACAGAAAGAAAAACCCACAAAACCACAAACCTTAGAAAAAGGAAGTAACAGGGTATATGAAAAAAGATAAAGCTGAAGTGCCCTGGGTAGGCTCTGCTAGCATATGCTGAGGTTTTCTAGCATTCTACAGTCTGATCAAAGACACATCAAAGTTTTAACTCAGGCTTTGTCACCTCTGGAGATGTGTTTTGTTCATACATTTATACTGTGAGGTAATTTATATTGAGACTGGCTTGATGGGAGGAGCTGGAACACACAACAAAGGACTGTGACAAACAGGCTGGTGGCATACAGCTGCTTCACTTTTATCTTTTTTTTTCTCCCAGACACAGTCTCCCTCTGTTGCTCAGACTCGAGTGCTGTGGTTTCAGCCTAGCTCGCAGCAACCTCAAACTCCTGGGTTCAAGGGACCCTCTTCCCTCAGCCTCTAATTAGTTGGGACTAGTGTCAGCTGTGGAGCCCAGCTAATTTTTCTATTTTTAGTAGAAGTGGGGCCTCACTCTTGGCTCAGGCTGGTCTTGAATTCCTGAACTAAAGGGATCCTCCCGCCTCAGCCTCTCAGAGTGCTAGGATTATAGGTATGGCTACTGGGCCTGGCCCCTCACCTTTCTTATTTATCAAAAGAGGAAGGTGACTAGGTAATGCTCTCTTCTGCTCTTCACCTGGTAAAAGTTTTATGATTCTAAATATAAACATTATAGTCCTTTAAACAGCAGATTTAACATTTAAAAGAGTACTTAAAAAAGGGAATAGACAATAAATATCCAAATTATAGTTGATGCAAATTTTTTTTTTAACACTCAAGTTTTAAGCAGGTAAGGAGAACTTCAGAAAGATTAAGTATGAAAGCTACTTGGGGGTCAGAAATAAGTTTTAGTGGATTTAAGAGTAAAGTTCTGTGAGCTAATGGAAACTCCAGTGGAACTTCTGGAAGTTAAACTTTAAAATTAACATAAAATAAATAGCAGAAAGAAGCCAAGAAGAAAGAGTCAGAATAGCTCCAAAGTTGGCAAGGCTATAGAGTACAAGATGATTAAAGGCATGAACCTATCCAGAGAACATGCTATTCAGACCAGATGGTCTTCACCAAGACAAATGTCCAGGGTAGAAGGACCTGAACCACAACTGCTGTACCACAGATTAGGGACCAGATTTGCTCACTTTCTGATTATACTCTGGTTTCACCTGTGCTTTCCTTAAATGGAAGGAATGCGCTGGCTGGAGGATGCTCATGTCCTGTCGCCTTGGCATTTATATATAATATCTTACTTTAAATGAGTAAAGTAGCATTCTGATTAAAGCTGGTTTCCTAAGGCTTGCTTCTAAAAGAGAAAATGGTGTTCAGAGGAAACTTAAGATTTAGTCCTCTTACCAGGTATAGTTCTTGTTTTAAATTGATGTTACATAAATCAGCTTTGGAGAACTTGGTTAAGTCCATCTCTCTAAAATGGATTTTGTCTTGTTTCTTAGCTTTTGAGGTTGAGGGCAAGGCCCTGGCTTATAATGATGTCATCATTCATTAGGGACTCATGCACCAGCCAGGTGCCCTCTACTAAGTGCTGCTTTACATCCTGGGGTTCTAGCCCTCTTTTATTGAAATTTCTGCATAAAGCGGTATTGTGAAGAGGGACTCCAAGTGCTTATCATTGGTTATAATTTATCAGAAGGACATTTCCAGTAGGCCCTGGTATGCTTCTGAAGTTACACTGGTCACTTAAATATTGATGAGTAACAGGAAAATTATTAGAAATAAAATAGGAAACAAGATTTGTACTTGGAATTCTGAGATGAGTTCTAGTTGCCACATTTTAAGAAAGACCTAATCTTCACAATAATGCTGAAAAATAGGAACTATTATAATCTCTTCTTTTAAGATAATAAAATTAAGACTCAGTGAAGTTAATTAACTTGTTTAAGTTCACAAATTAGTAAGCAGCAGAGCCAGCATTACCCCAGTTTTGCCTGTCCTATATTATAGCAGACAGTAGATAAAAAACAGTTAATAAGATGGATAGAACTAGCTGGCAGAAGCAGACAGCAAAAAGAAGTAACAGCTGGAAGCAAAGCACAAAACAAGGTAATTAGAGTAGCTGAGCCTTTCGTTACAGCCTCAAATAGCACTATAAACTTTAACAATTCCTAAGGGTATCTTGAAATAAAACTTTCAAACTTCATAAAGATAAAACCTGTCTAGGACAAGTCTCATGCAATTGATAAACTTGCCATTTCTCAACACTTCCAGGGTCATTCTGATTACCCAATGCTCTGTTTCTTTTCTGGATCATTTGTACTGTAATACCACAGCAAAATAATATACACAATGAAAAAAATCAAAGTATTACTGTACATTGGAAAGTCTGCTCTACTAAAAATTATGTTCAACTCCTGCATCTGCCACTGTGTCAAGATGCAGCAAGTATCAAGTCATTAATCTCTGAAAGTTTAGCTAAGTAAGTGCTACAGTGCTGCCTGTAATATTTTATGATTCCAAAAGATTAAATCAGATTTTAGATACTGTTTATTATGAGATGAACTTTAGAAAGTTGAGATTAAAAAATACTTAAGAAAAATTTGGAGACTGGTAAACTTCAGTAATCTGAAAATTCCTTTCAGTGGAACGTTTCATTTGATCACACTGTACTCTATTCCATATCCAAACATTAAATCAATAAATTTAAAGATATATTTAAATAAATATACTGGATAATGATTTATACTTGTTAAAGCAAACAGAGTCTTTTAAGATAAATTCTAAAACTCTGAGCTTGCTTGAATACCAGTTTACAAATGGGCTAGTTTTGACACATGGCACAAAATATGCAAAAGAGTAAATAGTCTCTCTTCCTCAAATAGTAAATGGTCTGATTTTTGCGCATATAAGGTAAAGCAGAATAAATTTCAGACCCACACTGAGGTTTATTTTGCTTGTTGTAAGATGTACATGCTTCTAAAAACTAATTTATTTATCCCCCTAAAATGAACTGTTTAGTGATAAAGATGATTAAAGGGTCTATGCCACTAACTCATCACATGATTTGCTAATCCTGATTTCCTAACATAATATCAAGTGACCTTGTTTTCTATAAAAGTAATAGTTGACATTTATTGAGTACTTGCTATGTGCCAACCACTATCCCAAGTACTTTATGACATTGTTTCAATTCTAATATAAACATTAACTTGTTTTAATCCTATGAAGTGGAAACTAATTTTACAAGTATCCTCGTTTTATAGATGAGAAAACTGAAGTAAAAGATTTAAATAACTTCCTTAAGGTCCCATTTGCTTGTCAATGGTGAAGTAAGGATTCAAATCCAGGTAATGTGGCCCAGAGTCTGTGCTTTTAACTGCTATGCTATACTGCCTGCCCTTCTTGCTCTGCCTGAAGACAAAGAAATCTATCATATCATATTCCTGGTGCCTAGACCATTTCTTTTCTTTCTTTCTTTTTTTTTTTTATTTGAGACAGAGTCTCACTATATTGCCCTTGGTAGAGTGCTGTTGCATCACAGCTCACAGCAACCTCAAACTCTTGGGCTGAAGTCTGTGGTTCTCAACCTTCCTAATGCTGTGATCTTTTAATACAGTTGTTGTGGTGACCTCCAACCATTATGGGGGAACATGAGGAACTGTATTAAAGGGTCACAGCATTAGGAAGGTTGAGAACCACTGGCTTAAGTGATTCTCTTGCCTCAGCCTATTAAGTAGCTAGGACTACAGGTGCCTGTAACAATGCCCAGCTCGTTTTTGTTCCAGTTGTTTCAGCTGGCCCAGGCTGGTTTTGAACCCACCAGCCTTGGTGTATATGGCTGGCATTGTAACCACTGTGCTATGGGTGCCAAGCCTAGACCATTTCTTATTAATGTAGTACCTGCCAATCAGTAAGCACTCAGTATATCTACCGATTTCAATCCAGTCTTCAGCCTATACTATATAACCTAATCAAGGCAAACCTAGGCAAATTGTAGGAAACATCCTTCTGTTAACACTTTTGTTTTTATTTATTTTGAGACAGAGTTTCACTTTGTTGCCCTCAATAGAGTGCTGTGGCATCATAGTTTACAGCAACTTCAAACTCTTGGGCTCCAGTGATCCTTTTGCCTAAGCTTCCCGAGTAGCTGGGACTATAGGTACCCATCATAATGCCTGGCTAGTTTTAGAGATGGGGTCTTGCTCAGGTCTCCAACTCCTGAGCTTGGGCAATCCACCCATCTTGGATTATAGGTATGACTCTCTTGTCTGGCCCTCTGTTAAGGCTTTTAAATGCCAACAAATCTCTATATAAATTATTTTATTTGTCATGGCAGAGAGGTAACATAGATATTGGGCGTAGGTAGGGGCATGGGACATTGAGATTAAAAGCAAGATGTCTTTTTATTTCTGATACTACTCCATTATCAAAAAGTGTTATTCAAAGAGTTTCCTATGGAAATAGCTTTAAGAAACCATCTTAAAATTAAGAGTGTGACAAATTACTCAATTCCCATAAGACGACATCTTTCTATTGTACAAGGGAAACTATAATGTGGTCATGTAGTATCAGTTTCCAAAGACAGAGAGAGATTAAAGCAGCTAACAAGAGAAACAGATACATCAAGGTAAACATTTAATTCTCTTTTTAACAGAAATTATTCAATAATTTTATAACTTATTTTACTTCACTACTTACAGTGCACTTTCCATATCTGCTATATTTTCTTCCATTTTCTGAGACTACATAGAGGTAAATAAAGTTGTCATGAGATCCTACAGCCAGGAAGGTACCATCTAGAATGAAAGAGGACACACTATTGGCAAGAGAAATATACTGATACATTTATGAGTGATATTTTGCAAATGATGTTAAATCTCATCAGTGTTACTCTTATTTGGTGGTTGAGGATTGAATCCCATTACTAAACACACTTGAAAAATAAATGGCCATCTAGTCTAATACATAATCCCTTCCTGGAGGTGCTCACAGGCCTTCCACTCTAACCTTATCTCCTTCTGGTTGGCTAAAAACTGGCCCCAGAGAGGTTATCCTGCCTTCAAGAGTAGAAGTACAGTGTTCACATGGCAAGCTGAGTGTATGAGTGTAGCATATGTCAGGCCTCCAATCACAGGGGAGGTGCTCTTGGGAAGGGACCATGTTCCCTTCTTTTATGGTCTCCTCCATTGGGCTAAGCACGGAACAAACAGTAAATAAAGTCCACTTGATCTTTAGATTTAACGGCTATATTGCAACTACAGCACAAAAAATCAAACAAACAAAAACTCCATACAGAACAAAAAACCTAGAACTTCAAAACGACTCCTTCTAGGTTTATAGCTTGAAATACATACTCTTCCTTCCTTGTTCAATTTAGAGAAGAGTATTCTGTGTGTCCTTTGAGAAGCAATCAAAAAGATCCTTTGGACCCCATGCTTTTTTTTTTTTTTTTTTTTTTTGAGACAGAGCCTCCAGCAATTGCCTTGGGTAGAATGACATGGCATCACAGCTCACAGCAATCTCCAACTTCTGGGCTCAAGTGATTCTCCTGCCTCAGCTTCCCAAGTAGCTGGGACCACAGGTGCCCACCACAAGGCCCAGCTATTTTTTGGTTGTAGTTGTCATCATTGTTTGGCGGGCCTGGGCTGGATTCAAACCCGCTAGCTCTGGTGTATGTGGCTGGTGCCTTAGCCACATGAGCTACAGGCACTAAGCCTGGGCCCTATGCTGATCCAACAGATTCTGGAATATATTTTCTTTTTTTTTTTTTTTTTGAGACAGAGCCTCAGGCTATCCCCCTGGGTAGAGTGCCATGGTATCACGCTCACAGCAACCTCCAACTCCTGGGCTCAAGCCAGTCTCCTGCCTCAGCCTCCCAAGTAGCTGGGACCACAGGCGCCCGCCACAACGCCCGGCCATTTTTTTGGTTGCAGCCATCATTGTTGTTTGGCGGGCCCGGGCTGGGGATTCGAATCCGCCACCTTAGGTGTATGTGGCTGGCACCTTAGCCGCTTGAGCCACAGGCGCCGAGCCTGGAATATATTTTCAAAGATAAGAAAATGTCAGACTAACTGTAGGGATGAACAGTGTGAATCAAAACCACATAAATAATGGGAAACGATATTTGAAATATTCAAATTTAATATTTTGAATAAATTATGAAGAATTATTCAAAACAGGCTAAATGAATTTATCAGATTCTTACAATAAATTGCTAAGTATTTTATATAATTAACAAACTAATCATTGTGTAACCAACAATGTAACTAGATTCTAAAGGAATCTAAAATTTCTGTATTTTGAATATGTCTATAGTTTCTTTTGGGAGGGAGAGGGAGAAAGAAAAGGCTGCTAACTAGATGTGGCATTTAATGCCTATTCAAAATTTTAAGTGTGTGTAGTTCCAAAAAAGGAGATTTGATTGTATTTTATTCTGTTTTCAATTATAAATGCAGGTGCAACAGTTCATTCTAAATTTATATTTGCTTGATGATTTAGAATGTTTAACTTTAGCAGATCTTTTGTAGTTTCTGGCAGTAGCATTTAATCTGATGTTGGAGGAAATATATTCAGTACTTAATAGTTCTAGAGAATAGAGAAAAAAGGAACCAGCTTTATCAGAAGTAAAAACATACAATTACAGTGAAGTACTGTGAATTGGGGGATGGGGGCAAATTTGCCTACCTATTGAGTAGCGCACTACGGAGAGCTGCTCATTCCCATCTGTGTGGATAGAAACTAGATCTCTGGTTTCTGCATCCAGAACAAACCACCTGTTAGAAATAAAAGAAAAACAACAAAAAAAGCAAAAACAAAATTTTCTTTAGTAATTAGCATTTACAGAAAGAAAGTGGTTGCTTTTCCCTATATTTTTTGCACTTTAAGAAATTTTAATAATAGCCCTTAAGTGTGACATGTTTTTCTCTTCTAATAAAGGATTAAATTACTTTGCAAAATGCTGCTAGATACAATATACATAAACTTAAATGGGCCTAGCCATAGTCTCATTTCTCTTTAGGTATTCACTGAATGCCAACTGTGTTTCTTTGCTAGGTGCTGTTTAACTGAAGTGACAGGATCGGTATTCTTGAAGATTATAAGGAAGGTGGGGAAAAGGAAATGAGGGAAGTAAAACAAAGAAGGATTAAACACGCCACCCTCAGTGATGGTGACTAAATACATTAGAGAAACAAACAGAAGGAAAATGACAGCAGGCATAGAAAAACATTTAGGGAAAATGTAGGATATGGGCTGAGCTGAACACTGAGGGCAAATACAAACAATTTGGGCAGCAGTAGTAGCAACTGTGCGGCTGGGGAGGCGAGAAGGACCAGGGACAGCATGAAGGTGGGAAGGAAAAGCAGTGAGCAGTGATGTGATTTCAAAGGGACCAGCAAGAGCACCCAATACCTTTAACACTTGCATACAGAAGCTCTAAAATTCTTTGAATAAGAGAGTTTTTCATTCACATTTATGGAAAAGTCAAAATGTAAATGCCTCTTGAGGTAAAACAATGACTTAAATCCAACAACTTCATAAATGACTATTATTCGACCTTTGTCTAAGGGCGCCTGAAGGAAAGGAAGAGTGCTTCAGAAGACAATGGTAAGAAGCAGGATACAAAGCAAAGGTGGAAACTATGGACCATGTAAAGCTGGATATGAGAAGAGGGCAGCTTACAGGCAGCATGCAGAGCTGGTTGGAAGAGTTAGAGTTGACCATTGTCTGGATCAGAGTAGGCATTATTTATTGAATGAATACATGTAAATGAACAAATAACCTAAAATAAGCCTTGAATAAGACAAACCCCAAGAGATTTAATGGTAGCATCGCGTGCTGGAAGAAAATGGCTAGGTGGAAAGAATAGGACTAGAAAAACAAAATCACTGTCTTAATCTCATATAACTGGATAAGACACAAGGAGCAGAAAGTTTTATTTTTATTCAGATAAAAAAATTCTACCATTAATAGAAGCCAATAAAAAGAACCATAATGGCACATTTTTAAATTTTTCATTATAAGTAATAACTGGAAAGGGACAATTTTCCCTGTATATGAAATGAAATATTTTGGGGAGAAAAAAGGGTACCTATCAATGAAATCGCTCTCTAATTAAATACATTCAGGAATGAATTCTAGTAACTTGTGAACAATGGGCTGAAACTTCTAGGCAGCTAACCTAAGTCATAAATTCTCTAATCTACTCAGCTAAGAGAAGTAGCTTCTATATGTGGATACTTGAGTTTAAAGGCTAATCAGCAGGAAAGTAGTCCTCGGAAGCCATATGCTATGTGTTTATTGGTCATTTCCATTTGAAAAGGTGCACATGAAAAATACTTTATTGCATTTGGACAGTATACAGAGATTATAGGTTTCTTTCTTTCTTTCTTTTTTGCAGTTTTTAGCTTGGGGCTGGGTTTGAATCTGCCACCTCTGGCATATGGGGCCAGCACCCTATTCCTCTGAGCCACAGGCACCACCCTATGGGTTTCTTTTGAGAATGTAGTTCATTAATCAATTTTTATGGCTACCTCCATGAAATTCCTCGGGCCAAAGAAATACCAAAGCTGATGTCAAGTGCCTTTCCAGAGTAAAGGAATAAAATGATAATTCCAGTTCAGACTGAAAGGACACACCTACAGGACACAGATACAGAGCTGCTCTATTAGCATCAGGTTTCAGTTTTTATGGAATTTGTGGAAATTTTATTGCATACTTTTATGTATTTAAAATTATTAATTTTTATTTTGGAGAAGCCCCAACTGATACTTCTTTAGGATCATTTCCCAGTCAGTTTAATCTTCGTTGGACACTCCCTTAGAATGTAATAAAACTTCAGAACGTCTGTTTTGATGTAATGTAGTCATTTACTGCGGAGAGATAGTAGCTATCCCCCGACAAAAATGAAACCCCCCAAATACCCCAAAGCAATCCCCCTACCTTGTCTACTTTCTAAATTACATCTCAGAGATTAATTTCTTCTACTTTTGCTAAATAATTTTTAGTAATAATTCAATAACTTATTAAAAGTATACAACTTCCACATAGACTGTTAGCAATAATTTTAGAGTTTCCACCCTTTTCACTGCATGGACTATATTTTACTCTCAGAAAAGACATTTGGGCTCAGGACTTTTGTGGGGTTTTTTTTTTTTTGGGAGACAGAGTCTCACTATGTCGCCCTTGGTAGAGTGTCATGATATCACAGCTCACAGCAACCTCAAACTCTTGGGTTTAAGTGATTTTCTTGCCTCGGCCTCCCGAGGAGCTGGGACTAGAGGCGCCCGCCACAATGCCTGGCTGTTTTTTTGTTGTAGTTGCCATTGTTGTTTGGCACACCTGGCCGGTTCAAACCTGCCAACCCCAGTGCATGTGGCTGGTGCCCCAGCCACTGAGCTACAGGCGCCGAGCCATTTTTTAATATTTTTAATTAAAATAGGGAATGCTTCATGAATCTTCATGTTATCCTAGGGGCCATGCTAATCTTCTCTGTGTGGTTTCAATTTTAGTATGTGTTGCTGAAGTAAGCACTGTATTCTTATTTTAGAGAATATATATTAGAACCAAATTTATGCTTAGGGCTAATTTGTAATCATTATGGGGGTTTGATTGGTCTACAGGACCTAATGGACCTGTCCAAACATAACTGCTAAATATCAGAAATGAGAAATCTTTTGTCATTTATTTAAACTAATCAGACTTGTGAAACAAGACCAAAAAGGTAGTATCATCATTATCTCAATGACCTTTTAAGAAGACATTTTATCAATTTAATTTTCCCCCCATTTTATCAATTTCCTTAATGGCTAAAAGTAAGATTTTAGAGGTGGAAATACCTTAAAGTTCCTAAATGAATAAATATCTATTCATGATATTAAATTACAAAAATATATATCATTATAATACAAATTGTGTCCTCTCGGGAGTAGGTTTGTAACTTTTATCCTGTCTAGGATCTCCTTATAAAAATAGGAATGTGGCTTTTATGATTAGAAAAACAAAGTTTAAAAAAAAGGGAGGACACTTTGGGGGGCCAAGGTGGGAGGATCACTTGAGGCCAGGACTTTGAAACCAGCTTTATCAATGAAATAGGACCCCATTTCTACAAAATATAGAGAAGAAAATTAGCTAGGCATGGTGGTACATGCCTGTAGTTTCCAGCTACTTAAGAGGCTGAGGAGGACCACTTGAGCCTAGGAGTCTGAAGTTTCAATAAGCCATGCTGATGCCACTGCATTCTAGCCTGGGCAACAGAGACCCTGTCTCTTAAAAAACAAAATGAGGACAAAAAAAGAAAAACCAAGTCCAATTCAAGCCTCTTATTTTAAAATAAGAACACCAAAATCCTGTGATGTCAAAACACCTAGCCATTCATCAACTAGTTAGTGGCCAGGACAAAGTTTCTGGGCTTTGTGCTTTTCATTGTATCATACTAGGGTGGGGTGTGATCTCAAGGAAAGTGCTCTATGTCTTTGAGATACACTAACATTTAGTAATCAACAAAGGAGACAGGAGTTTATAAAATCTAATGGGGGAGGACAAAGGTTTAAGTAGTTCAAAGTAACATGGGTTATAGCAAGGACAATGAAGTTTCAGACTAGGTGATAATCCCTTAGAGTATGTAGTGGTCTATGATTTTATCATCAAATTTGGCAGGGATAGGTGGGACATAAATAGCCAACAGGAGTAGATAAATTACAAAAAAGGCTGGGATGTACATAAAGGATAACCTGACCATTCTAGCTGGAGTGATGAGGAAAGATTTTTAATGGGCAAGGCTAACAAGTTTGGATTTACTGTTTAGGCTTTCAGAGTTTGAGGGTACAATGAACTATAACTGTGCCACTGCACTGCACTTCAACTTGGGTGACAGAGACCCCATCTCTTTTTATTTTAAGACAGAGTCTCACTGTGTTGCCCAGGCTAGAGTGCTGTGGCCTTAGCCTAGCTCATGGCAACCTCAAACTCCTGGGTTTAAGCAATTCTCCTCCCTCAGCCTCCCAAGTAGCTAGGACAATAGGCCTCCCACAATGCTTGCCTAATTTTTTCTATTTTTCATAGAGATGGGGTCTTGTCTTGTTGGGCTGATCTTGAATTCCAGAGTTGAAGGGATACTTCCCCTCAGCCTCCCAGAGTGCTAGGATTATAGGTATGAGCCACCTATCTCTCTCTCTCTCTCTTTTTTTTTTTTGGAGACACAGTCTCACTTTGTTGCCCTTAGTAGAGTGCTGTGGTGTCATAGTTCACAGCAACCTTCAACTCCTGGGCTTAAGTGATTCTATTGCCTCAGCTTTCCAAGTAGCTGGGACTATCGGTGCCCACCACAATGCCTAGCTACTTGTGGAGACAGGGTCTTGCTATGGCTTAGGACAGTCTCAAACCTGTGAGCTCAGACAACACACCTGCCTCGGCCTCCCAAGTGCTGAGATTATAGGTGTGAGCCACCAAGCCCAGCTTGAGACCCTATCTCTTTAAAAAAAAAAAAAAGCCTCAAGGGATGGTCTACTCCAGTCAGTATGTTCTGCAGAGTTTCCTACATTTTCTCAATCTGTTCCTTTTGCTTGATGGGAGCGCCTCAATTTTTCCTGCCTCTTCAGGGTCCAAGTCCTTCTTGAAGGACAGGCCCAATCCCACCTTTGCTGCCTTTTTTGATCATTCAGGCTCACTTCTGCTAATTTTCTGTTCATCTAACAGTATTAGTGCCTGTTTATTCTAATAATACTAAACTACTAATGAGATGTTCTTTATCTTTTTATGTAGCATTTAATTAGGT